AGAGGCTGTTACTCTTTTTTTTTTTTTTTACCATTTATATCATTTATATCATTTTTTTAACCATTTATATCATTTATCCCATTTCCCTTTTACCTTGTCTCTCCAGGTAGATTGAAAACTCCTCCTAAACCATATATTGGTTCTTTTTTTTTTTAATTGAAGTATAGTTAACACACAGTGTTACATTAGTTTCAAGTGTACAACATAGTGATTCAGCAAGTCTGTACTTCATGCTATGCTCACCACAAGTGTAGATACCATCTGATACCATTGAACCCTATTACAGTACACTGACTATATTCTCTATGCTGTACCTTTTATCCCTATGACTTATTCATTCCATAAATGGAAGCCTGTACCTCCCTCTTCCCTTCACCCATTTTGCCCCCCTTCCCTATGGCAACCATCAATTTTTTCTCCGCATTTATGAGTTTGTTTCTGCTTTTTGTTTGTTCATTTGTTTTGTTTTTTAGATTCCACATATAAATGAAGTCATATGGTATTTATCCTGCTCTGTCTGCTTTATTTCACTTAGCATAATACCCTCTAGGTCCATCCATGTTGTTGCAACATGTTATTGCAACATAAGATCTCATTTTTTTAATGACGGAGTAATATTCTATTGTGTATATATACCATATCTTCTTTATCCATTCAATTGTTGATGGACACTTAGATTGCTTCCATATCTTGACTATTGTAAATAATGTTGCAATAAACATAGCAGTGCATCTATCTTTTTGAATTAGTGTTTTGATTTTCTTTGGGTAAATACCCAGTAGTGGGATTGCTAGATCATATGGTAGTTCTACTTCTAACTTTTTGAGGAACCTCCACACTCTTTTCCACAGTGGCTATACCAAGTTACATTCCCAATAGTAGCGCATGAGGGTTTCTTTTTCTCTACATCCTTGTCAACATTTATTATTTGTCTTTTTTATTCTAGCCATTCTGACAGGGGAAAGGTAATACCTCATAGTGGTTTTGATTTGCCTTTCCCTGATGATTAGCAATGATGAGCATCTTTTCATGTGTCTGTTTGCCATCTGGATGTTTTCTTTAGAAAAATGTCTGTTCAGGTCCTCTGCCCATTTTTAATCAGATTATTTGGTTTTTTGGTGTTGAGTATAACTTCTTTATAGATTTTGGATATTAACCTCTTATTGGATATGTCATTTGAAAAAAATCTATTTAGAAGGTTGTCTTTTCTTTTGTTGATGGTTTCCTTCTCTGTGCAAAAGCTTTTTATTTTGGTGTAGTATCAATAGTTTATTTTTGCTTTTGTTTCCCTTGTCTGAGGAGACATATCTACAAAAATGTTCTTTGGCTGATGTCAGAAAGATTACTGCCTGTGTTCTCTTCTAGGATTTTTGTGGTTTTAGGTCTCATATCTAGGTCTTTGAACCATTTTGAGTTTTTGTATATGGTGTAAGAAAGTGGTCCAGCTTCATTCTTTTGTATGTAGCTGTCCAGTTTTCCCAGTACCATTTATTGAAGAGACCATCTTTTCTCCATTGCATATGCTTGCCTCCTTTATCATAGACTAATTGACCATATAAGCATGGGTTTATCTCTGGGCTCTCTGTTCTGTTCTGTTGATCTATGTGTCTATTGTGTGCCAGCACCATACTGTTTTGATTACTACAGCTTTGTAGCATACCTTAAAATCTGTGTTACAGATATTAAAATCTGTATCTGTGATACCTTCAGCTTTGTTTTTCTTGCTCAAGATTGCTTTGGCTATTTGGGGTCTTTTGTGGTTCCATACATATTTTAGTATTGGTCTAGTTCTGTGAAAAATGCTGTTGGTACTTTGGTAAGGATTGCATTGAACCTGTAGATTGCTTTGGGTAGTATGGACATATTAACAATATTAATTCTTACAATTTGTGAGCATAGAGTATCTTGCCATTTGTTTGTGTGGGTTCTTTTTTTGTCTCTCAAACCACTTAGCACAAATTCTACTAGGATTTCAGTATCTAAGTTTAGCCAAAATTGCAAAGTATTTGACAGATTAGTAAGTGCTTTTGCATACCTAATCTCATTTGATTCTCAAGACAACCCTTTGAGGTAGGACTTACTGATATCATCATCACTTTATAAATGGCCAATGTGAGGCTCAGAGAAGTTGGTTGATTTGCTTGAACTCACACAGCAGGGAAATGCTAAAGAGCCTGAACATCTACTCACAAATGAGAAGCCTTATTTTCCAAATCTGTGGTTGTCTTCTGTACCTCTGTCACACCCCATTCCTACTTCTAACCCAAGGTGGAACCAGGGGTTTTGTTTTGCTTGTTTTCATAATTAATGTTCTCCAGGAGATACTTGAGCATCTTGCCCTGCCATGTTCAATAATAAGCAATTTGGAAACTACTTCCCAGACAGTGCTATGCAGAGGGCAGCTCCTTTCTTTGCTCTTGTGGGGATAATTTCCAGGGCAAGGCATCCTTGTAAAGGATCTCCCCACCTGCTTCTCTTCCCTGTCCTGAAAGGAGAAAGGAGTATAAAAATTGTTAAATATATGTCAATGGATACAGTTCAGTAATAGTTCTATCTAAATGTAAACTTTCATGATTACTCCAAAAATCCAGTGATAATAGTTCAGAACTTTGAGCCACACATCCCCCCTCCGTGCAGAATGCCCCACACCCATTAAAAGCAGCATTATTAAAAACAGCAGCTACTGGGTGTGCTTGGAAATAACTCTTCTCAAGTAAATAACTTGGAATGTTTTTATTTTAGAATATCAAAGGAAGCCTGGACCACATTATGGCTAATTGACTACATATTTCCATGAGCAGAAACGAAGCTATATTTTAGTTATAAGGATACTGACCACATTGTCTTTAATGCTGGTTACCAGCTTTTTAAAAAGAGATGAGAGAGAAGCAAAAAGTGAATTGCACACTGAATTTTAGCCTAACTTAAATATTGGCTCTAGTTCGAGAACAAGGAGGTAATGGGGGAATGTGGCGCATGCATTTTGGTGTAATTATAGCAATTGCAACCATGCTGCCAGGGCCCTACCTTTGTGCAAATCTCTTCTGATAAGGAAATGTTCTTATGGACAATGTTCTCTCTCTCTCCTCCCACGGAGGGAGCTGGTTAAAGTAGCCTAGATGACTAGAAAACAATGAATTCTGAAAACCGAGCATACTGGAAAGAAGAGCCACTCCTGAAGTTAACAAACACTTATAACAAAGTTGATCTTTTAAAATGATTTGTATAATTGTTTTTGCATTACATGTTAATTAGGCTTAACAAGCATTATTTATTTTAGAACCTCACCAACCACTTCTGGGCTTAACGAGGGGAGAGAAGTCCAAGAGGAGGGTGGAGAATTCCTAGTGTGGAGCCCTCCCCTGAAGCACCTCATTGCCCATCTGTCTCAGGAGAGGGCCTGCAAGGGAAGCCTCATCTAGCACCTTATCCTCCTGGTCCATCTCCTCCCTGTTTACTCTGCTATTGAACAACTGGCTCAACTGGGGACTTCTAAAACCTCTAGGCTGTGGGTGGCCTTGATTAAATGCTCTAGGAAGAAAAGAAGAGAGAGGAAAATCTTGACTGTCCAGAACACTTGGATAATGAGTCTTTCTGGGTGGTGGAAATTTCCCAGATAACTGAGCATTTGCTTCTTTAAGCCTTTAAGTTTTTTTTTTTTTTTTTAAGATTTTATTTATTTATTTGAGAGAGAGGATGAGAGGAGAGAGAGAGCACATGAGATGGGGGAGGGTCAGAGGGAGAAGCGGACTCCCCGCTGAGCAGGGAGCCCAATGTGGGACTCGATCCCGGGACTCCAGGATCATGACCTGAGCCGAAGGCAGTCGCTTAACCAACTGAGCCACCCAGGCGCCCAAGCCTTGAAGTTTTTATGTTAACCATTTCAAATGGCGATCTACATCAAATGTGTCACTTTTCCCTGGTTTTTAAACAGTGGACATAATTTGACATTTCCTCGACTGAGTCACAATAATTATACATTGACTTGTAATAGAAATACAATAGAAAGATGACATCAGAGGTTGCTGAGCCATGTATGATGGTTTATTCCCATATTAAATGACCCAGATTTGAACATATGTAAGTCCTTGCCATGGCTTTTTGTAGTTTTTGTAAAACTTCCCTCTCTCTGGTCAGAGTCCTCACCATGAGCAGTCCTTTTTCCCCCTCTTTGAAATTGCTGCATTCTAGAAATTAGAATAATGAGGGTGTCTATCTTGGGTGTAAAGTAAAGGTAAATAGACTTTGATGGAGGACCTAAGGCACAGCAAATAGGACTTTCTGCCAAATTTCCTCATTCAATTTTCCATATGGTGCCTTCTGTATGGGGAGATCGTTAGAAAGCTGAATTCTGGAAAGGTGAGAGAATACCATGGCTGCTCTAGGAAGTTGATTTGAAAACTCAGAAGGAGGCTAGGTTGAGATATGAATCCCCCTCACAGAATTTATAATAACGATGTTTTTTTCTGAAGACCAAAGCAACATGTGCCAAGTTTAAAATACTTAAATCTTACAGATCTATACAATCTGAAAAAGCAAAGCCCCTCACATTATCTCCACCTCCACCACCAAATAACAACTTGTGTAAAATACATCAATGTTTTTTTCTACCCACATACTAGCATATTATTATGACTTTTTAAAAAGATAAGTTTAGTATCATACACGACTTGTGCTTTACAGCTTGATCTTTCAACTTACCAGTTTGTCTTGACTATCTCCTGAATTCATACTTTTTTTAAAGATTTTATTTATTTATTTGAGAGAGAGAGAATGGGCAGAGGGGCTGACGGAGAAGGAGAAGCAGACTCCCTGCTGAGCGGGGAGCCCCACATGGGACTCGATCCCAGGACCCCGAGATCGTGACCTGAGCCAAAGTCAGGCACTTAACTGACTGAGCCGCCCAGGTGCCTCATGAATTCATATATTTTTAGTTACTTTATTGCTTTGAATCACAGCTTAGTATTCCATTAAAGAAATATCATAATTTCCTTAAACAGTTCTCTGCTGGTGGATATCTGGAGAGTACACAGTGTCTCAACATTGCAGGCAACAATGAAATGGACATCTTTGAATACATATAATTGAGTGAGTATTTGGGGAAAATAAATTTTTTTCTGATTTTTTTCAACTTTATTTAGGCATAATATGAGTATTTGACATACATATACTTTGTGAAAAGATTACCACAATTAGGTTAACACATGTATCAACTTACATAAAGCTACTTTTTGTGTCTGTGAGAATGCGTAAGTCTACTCTCTTGCAAAGTTCAAGTACACAACACAGTATTATTAACTAGTCACCATGCTGTACCTTAGATCCCCAGAACTTACTCACCTTCTAACTGAATGCTTTTACCTTTGCCAACATCTCCTCGCTCCCCAACTCTTCCACCGTTCTTTTTTTTTTGTGATTTCTTTCAGTATTATTTTTTTATTTAAATTCAATTAACATATAGTGTATTATTAGTTTCAGAGGTAGAGGTCAGTGATTCATCATTCTTATATAACACCCAGTGCTCACTACATCACGTGCCCTCCTTCATGTCCATCACCCAGTTACCCCATCCGTCCACACACTACCTTCCAGTAACACTGTTTGTTTCCTATGATTAAGAGTCTCTTACGGGACGCCTGGGTGGCTCAGTCGGTTAAGCGTCTGCCTTCAGCTCAGGTCATGATCCCGGGGTCCTGGGATCGAGTCCCGCATCGGGCTCCCTGCTCTGCGGGGAGCCTGCTTCTCCCTCTGCCTCTGCCTCTCTCTCTCTCTCTCATGAATAAATAAATAAAATCTTAAAAAAAAAAAAAAGAGTCTCTTACGGTTTGTCTCCCTCTCTGATTTCATCTTGTTTTATTTTTTCCTCTATTCCTTTATGATCCTCTGTTTTGTTTCTTAAATTCCTCATATCAGTGAGATCATATGATAATTGTCTTTCTCTGATTGACTTATTCTGCTTAGCATAATACCCTCTAGTTCCATCCACGTCGTTGCAAATGGCAAGATTTCATTTTTTTTTTTGATGGTTGAGTAGTATTTCATTGTATATATATACCACATCTTCCTTATCCATTCATCTGTCAGTGGACATCTGAGCTCTTTCCACAGTTTGGCTATTGTGGACATTGCTGCTATAAACATTGGGGTGCAGCTGCCCCTTCGGATCACTACATTTGTATTTTTTGGGTAAATACCCAGGAGTGCAATTGCTGGGTCACAGGGTAGCTCTCTTTTCAACTTCTTGAGAAACCTCCATACCATGGGAAAATAAATTCTTGTGGAATTTGTCCTTCATATTAGTTTCTTAGGGCTTCATATTAGTTTCTTAGGGCTGCTGTAACAAAGTACCACACACTGGCTGAAAACAATAGAAATGCACTGTCTTACAGTTTTGAAGGTTCAAATCCCAAATCAAGATGTCAGCAGGGCCAGGCTTTCTCTGAAACCTATAGGGGAACTCTTCCTTGCCCTCCTGGCTGCTGGTGGCTTGCTGACCATCTTTGGTGTTCCTTGCGGTGCAGCTGTGTGACTCCAATCTCTGCCTTCCATGCCTCATGACCCTCTCATTGTGGCTCTCTGTCTTCACATGGCTCTCTTCTCATAAGGACACCAGTCACACTGGACTAGGGCACAACCCCACTCCAGTATGACATCATCTTAACTGATGACATCTGCAACCACTTTATTTCAGAATAAGGTCACATTCTGAGGTACTGGGGGTTAGGACTTTAATATAGGTCTCTTTTTTTGTGTGGGGAGGGGACATGATTTAACCCAGAACATCCTCAGGGCTTTCAAAGTTTTAGTACATGCTGCCAAATTTTCTTCCAAAAATATTATGCCAATTTAGATTCTCACCAATAATTGATGAGAGTGTCAATTTCTCACCTTCTCACCCACCAGATATTATTTTTTAAATTATTTTCTAATCTATATGAATATTTATAACTCATTATTTTATTTAACATTTCTTTAATTATTAGTGAAATGAGCAAATTTTTACTTGCTTTACTGAATACTTGCATTTTTCCTGAGACTTGCCTCTATTATCTTTTGCTCATTTTTCTATTTCTTTTTTTAAAAGATTTATTTACTTATTTGAGAGAGAGAGAGAGAGCAAGCTGGAGGGGAAGGGACAGAGAGAGGAGAGAGAAAATCTCAAGCAGATTCCACACTGAGCGCAGAGCCCGACGCAGGGCTTGATCCCACAACCCTGAGATCATGACCTGAGCCAAAACCAAGAGTCAGACACTTAACCAACTGCACCACACAGGTGCCCCTTGTTAACTTATTCTTAAGTGTTTCATTTCCCATTGCTTTTGTGAGTAAGGTCTCTTCTTCCATTGAATTTTCTACCTGGTTGCTGTTTGCATGCAGGAAAGTTACTGATTTTTTTTAATATTAATATGTGACTCACTACCTCCCTTAATTCTCATATTGTTTCTAGTGGTTTTTCAGTTGTTTCTCTTGGGTCTCAGGTGTATTGCCATATCAGCTGCAATAAATAGAGTTTTGCCTCCTTTCTTGCAGTATTTATGTCTTTTGTTGGTTCTCTTTTATAATTACATTAGCTAGCTCTTCCAGAAAAATGTTAAATAATAACCATGATAGAGGACATGCTTGTCTTATTTTTGATTATAGTGGAAATGTTTCCTTTGTTTTCCCATTAATCAAAATGCTGAATTATGATTTGGGATACATGTCTATTATATGATGGAAGTATTTCTACATTCCTATTTTGATACAGTGGTTAAGAATATGCCATCTGCTAGCTATATACAACCCACTTCCTAGCTCTGGGACCTGAGGCAAGATCCTTAACCTTACTGAGCTTTAGTTTCCTTATCTGTAAAGTGAGCATGATAGTGTCTTTATCACTGGTACTTTCTCATTTCTCTAAATGAGAAAATGCATGCAGAGCATGTCAGACAGTACTCAGCACATAAGAAGGACAAAATAAATGTTAGCTCTTATTATTGTTTTTGTTTTACTATAAATGAATGTTCAATTTTACTACATTCCTTTTCTGTATCTTCAAAGGTAATCATGGCTTTTCTCCTTTGACTATTAATAGGGTGAATTACACTAATAGATTTTCTAAAATTGAATCACCCTGAAATGAATTCCACTTTGTCACAGTGTATTTGTTTAATGGGCTACTGGATTCTATTTGCTAGTATTTTTATTAGAATTTTAATATCATATTTAAATGTGAGAATACCTTAGCATGGCTGTGTGCATACACACTGTGTGTGTGTGTGTGTGTGATATGTGTATGGTGTAAGTATGGTGTGAGTCTGTGTGGTGTGGTGTTAAAGTGATGTATATGTGTGTGACATGTTTATATTTGTGCAGAGGGTAATATGTGCTGTGTGGTGTGTACACGTGGTATGTTTGTATTTGTACAGTGTGTGTGTGGTGTGGGGGTATGTTGTGTGTGTGTGTGTGTTGGGCAATGCTTGTATGAAGTGTGTGGTACATATATGTGATCACTACGAGGTTTTGGTACCAAACATGTGCGGACTCCACAAAATAAGGAGGAGGCTTTTTCCTTTATGCCCTTGATGAGTTAAAGAGCATCAGAAGCATCTCTCCCTTAAAGGTTTAAAATAACTACCCTGTGGGCACCTGGTGGCTCGGGCGGTTGAGCATTTGCCGTCGACTCTGGTCATGATCCCAGGGTCCTGGGATCAAGTCCCACAACAGTCTCCCTGCTCAGCAAGGAGTCTGCTTCTCCCTCTACACATCCCCCCTGCTCAAATAAATAAATAGAATCTTAAAAATAAAATAAAATAACTAACTTGTTAAATGATTGGGGTTGAGTAGTTTTTGATAGCATTGTCAATTTCTTCCATGATTTAGGTTTTTTAAAAAATCCCTTTCTGAGTCGATTTCAATAAAAATTTCTTTGGAGATCATCCATTCATTCTCATTTTTCAGAGAATATGGGAACAACTCTTTCTCATATGATGTCAAATAACAGTGCAGTATATAATTAAAATGTTTTCTTAACATTTAGTATGAAGAGAAAGGGTAAAAAGAGGTGAGAGGTGATTTTGTCACCAAGAGCAGGACCAGGTTGGTCAAGTGGGAAAGATGGACTCCCTGTGAGATTGTGTTCAATGGTGAGCAGTAGTCAAGGACTGCAAGGGACTTCACACTGAGGAATCTAGGGTCCTAGAGGATCTGCAGACCATGCTTTGCACAAGCAGGTGCTCAGTAAGAGCCTGCTGATTGGGGTAACTGGCCTGCGGTAATTCTGGTGGGTGGTTAGTGGCAGAATTCAGACCGGGATGGAGAGCTGTAGGCTCATCTTCCTGGCCTCCTTCACACCCACCAGACTCACCAGTTCCCCCTTTGGAGGTGAGGCTGGAGGAAGTGAATGGTGATGAAGGCAAGAGCTCTGTGGGAACCACCGCGGAAGCTGTGCCTAGGGAATAGAAGCAAGCCAGGAAGTCCCCCAGATCCAGTCAGCATCAGGAACCAGAGGCTTTCAAACAGAGCCACGTGTCAGAGCAGAGAAGAGCCACAAGCCAGGAACGAGGGTCTCTGCAACCAAAGTGAAGCTTGCAGAGCCTGCCATTCTTCCTGCTATTGCAGAATTCACTGGCTCTCCTAAGAATGGCCTGCCCAGAGTCTGAAACCCATCGGATGCCACATTGGACCTGCTGCTTTTACCACATCCTCCTGACAAAACTCCACCAAGACCTTCCACCTTAAGGGTGGAACTTCAATATAGCTGGTCTGAGAATCCCTCCAGAGAGTGAACACCACCTGCTGAACAGCCAGCGTCTCCTGCAGTGTTTCTCAATGTGGTCTGTGGGCCACTGTCTCAGAATTACCCGAGATATTTTGTACAAATGTAAATTCCTAGGCCCCACCCAGATCTACTGAATCAGCATCACTGGGAGTGTGGCCAGGAGTCTGCACATTTGATAACATTCTAGATGATTCTTATTTATACACACTGACATTTGAGCTCGACTATGTGATATCAAAACATACACAAGTTCCTTAGAAGTGACTCAATGGTGATGGTAAAGTCTGGCCCATATTTAGTCCTTTGTTCATTTATTTATTTAACAAAT